AGATAGAGGGCACTTCAAGAAGGGAAAATATATGTTAAGCAAAATTTCAAAGATGGACAGGTTGATGTTTCAGACATCTAGGAAATGATAACAAATGGAACAAATAAATAGCTGAACGTATTATGAGATATGGTGAAGGATTACACAAAATATGACAGTTCTGGATGGCAAGATAATATGAGCTGACAGACATGATTAAACAAATAGGATATCAAGAATTAATTTTTTTACCTTCAGCGTGGCAGACCTGCACTGGCCTGAACTTCACAAATTAATGCAACCCGAAGGGCATTTCAGCGAAAAGACAGATTCAGCTAAACAAAGGTAGAATAACATTATCAAAAATCCACATATAGCCAGCTGGTTTTTTCACAAGAGATTTGAAATTTTCTTTCATAAAGTACTGAAATAACATTGGAAGCTCGAAGATTAATGGTACCGTTATGAATGGCAACATCAGGAAAGTGTTCATGTTAATAGAATAGGTAAAAGGAGGAATGTACCTACAATTAACTGGAATCAAATGAAAGAAAACGAAAGTGTGAAAAAAAATGTGATACAATGCATTGATTCAATGATCACAACAATAAATCCAGGAATTTTTGCTGCTATACTTCAGAGACATCCATGTCAAAAAAGCAGCAGTGAAATAGAAGATGATTTACAAGATTATATTGAATTAATAAACAAGCTTCAGCGACATACACGTTGCAACCCTTCATATTATATCAGATGTAATAAATCAGGACAAAAAGCATGTAGATTTAGATTTCCCAAAGAGCACACTGATAAGACTTTCATAGGAGATAATATTCACAGACAACCAGAACTTATAACAGCCAGAAATGATCCCTATATCAATCTTCATAACAGACTTCAATTACAAGACTGGCGTGCAAATGTGAATCTTAAACCAGTACTTAGTATTTATGCAGTACTGTAATATATTTCAAAATATGCTAGTAAATCAGAACCAAGATCAATGGCATTCTCAGAGATTTTTAATGAGATTCTTAATAAAAGTAATCCTGAAGATGCTTTACTCATATCAATACAAAAACTCCTAATCAATAGTGTTGTGGAATGAAATATTTCAGCACAAGAAACCTGCCACCTTCTTCTAAGAATATCTCTCTACTACTCAAGCAGGGTATTTGTTTCACTAAATATTAATGAGATAGCACTAAAATGGCTGCGCAGTATAGGGAGTAATGAAGATGGAGAAGAGTTCGGATTTCTCAATGATTCTAGATGCACTGCCAAATCAGTACTTAACATTTACTGGGAGCGACTTGAAGAGTTCGAAGAATATTTAATATTCAAGCTGTATTTAACACATAAATTAATCAATGGGTATGAAAAAGATGTGCAACAGAAAATATAGTAAGTATATGACCATGACCATCACTTTTATACAATAGAGATCAATGGGAAAAATATTGTAGAATTAAAGTGATTCTTCATGTGCCTCATCGTAATATCGAACAAATAAAGAAACTAGCGATATACTGTGATCAACAATATACAATTAACAAATAAAGAAGATCAACAACAATCACGATGACACACTTGGAGATCCTGTAGAAAATGAAGAAGAGGAGATCAGTGATGATGTTAATGGAGAAGAATTGGAGGAGAATGACGAAAATGGAAAACAAAGATTAGACTGGATGGTTCTTTCTGAAATAGGAATAAAAGCAATCATAGAGTGATCATATGATTTAGGTTCACGTTTAAAGGATCAGAATCATGATTAGATCAATGAAGGTCAAAAAAACTATCTTGATAACGATATAGTAGAAGCCAGCAACTTCGTGTAATAAGCGGTGAACAGAGATAAGAAAAACGTCTACAAAAGTAATGAAAAAGATTCGATAAATGTCTGAAATCTAAATAAAAACAAAATCGGGTACTACGTGAATTGAATTTCATTATAATAATATACTATAAGTAAACAGGTAGATTTATTAAAGATCATAATAATGGGAACAGTGGGCACAGAAAAATTCTATTTAATAAGAGTGATCAGATAGACACTTCAGGCAATGTGCAGAGAAGAATCCAACCCTCCAATAATTGTTATAACTCCTACAGGGGTGGCAGCATTTAATATTAATGGAGCAACTATCTATTCTACTCTTTCTATTCTAATCTGCAACGACAAAAGATTAGTAGATATAGATAGGGAAAGACTAAAACAACTACAAGAAAGAATAAACATAATACATTATATAGACGAAAAAAGTATGGTTGGTAGAAGAATGCTTGGATTAATTGACATATGCTTGCAGCAAATATTTTTTGAGAAAAAAAATGAACCATTTGGCAGCAGATCAATCATATTTTTTAGGGATTTTAGACAGTTACCACCTGTACTCGACATTCTTATGTACTCTACCAATATTTCACAAGACGAACTATCCAATAACGGAATCGCAGCCTACAAATTATTTTCAGAGGTATATAAACTCGATATCATACAAAAGCAATCAGATGATTCTGAAGTACAACAGAAATTTAGAGACATGCTTCTAAGATTATGCGATGGAGAAAGCAGTTTAAATGACTGGAAAATTCTCACCACATGATTTGAAGAAAACCTTAATCAAGATGAACGAGAAAGATTCTCAGACGCAATATCAATTCTAAAAAAGTGGGAAGAAGTCGATAAAATTAATATTGACATACTCAGATCATTGCAGCGACCAGTTGCCAAGATCGTAGGTGTACATAGCGGAGGAGTTGAAGTTAAACAAGTCAACTCAAAAGTGGCAAAAGGTTTTAAAGCATAATTACTGTTGTCAAAAGGTACACGTATCATGTTAACAGCAAATGTATAGACGGAAGGCAGATTGGTAAATGACTCAATGGGAGTCATACAAGACATCATATTCAAAGAACGGGGCCACCTTCTCTTCTAGTAGCAGTATTCATCACATTTGAGAAGTATAAAGGATCCACAATTACTAACCTAGAAGGCGCCAAAGTTGTACCTATTATGCCTATCAAAAGGTCATGGGAAAGTAAGAATAGGACGCAGTGTTCACGTCCGTAGGTTCCCTTACGTCTTGCCTAGGCGATTACTGTGCACAAGAGCCAAGGATTAACATTAGAAAAGACCAAAATCGATCTTGAAAGCAAAGAGTTTGTGGCGGAACTTTCTTTTGTTGTAATATCACGCGTCCGTTCACTAAATGATATCTCCTTCAAACAGTTCACGTTCGAAAGGTTACTTCGTATAAAGAACTTGCGAAGGTTATAAGAAAGGAAGCTCAAAGAAAGATGACTAGTTTCATTAATATCAGAAGAAGACACAATTTAACATAACAGTAGGAAGCGTTAAAAAAAATAGGAACAAAGCATCAAAATATTATTTTAATTCACATTTCTCAGAAAAAATGACAATACAAATAAAAAAAAATATAAAGCCGAAAAATTTTTTTTTTAATGCAAAAAGTTTTTAAATAAATTTGATAAGATTTGAGAAATGATCACGAGCAATACTGACAAACACAGTAACTGAACATTATCGTCTCATAGGTCAAGCGAGCAGACAGATCAACATTTTGTATCACTGAGCCTAAACCATAATAGTCTTTCACTATGCTCTGGACTAATAAAATGTTATGAAAACCTTTTCTTTCTCTAAATAAATTTAACTAAATTTTGCTTTTTAAGTTTTAAAAAATTTATTATAATAATTTTTAAAATTTTCTTTAAAATTCATATGTTTTACAAATTAATTAAATTACTTTACTACTAATAAATTTATAAAATTTCTTAATAAATCATAAAAATCATAATAATTAAAGTTATTCTTTATGATAAATTTTATAATATTCTGTTATATTAATATTTTAAAAGTAAATAAATGTTAATAAAATTGTCAAAGATTAATGATAAACTTTTAAGAAATTAAGTGATATATTACTTTAAATTTTAAATGAAAATTTCTTTATTCTTTTTATAATATTATCCTAAATTTATAAAGATTTTATAGATGCTTAATTATTTATTTTTAATAAATTTTTCATATTAAAAAGATATAGCTAAAAAAAACTAGCAAATCAGATTTTTCTAATAAGCGAATTCATAGACAATTATTCATCTTTACCATGATGTAACAATGTTTTATAGCCTACCAGATAACTTTTTATTGAAATTTATAGATTTACAGCAAGATCATCAAAAATACATTTTTTTTTTTTTTGATGAGACGTAACTCGTAATGAATAGGATTTCCGCTAATTCTTTGGGATTTTTTTTTTCTCGAATTTAACTCATGATTATATAATCATAATAAAATTAAAAATTATTTCATGTAAAATTGTCGCGTGAATTGATAAAAGTAAATTTTTTTTCTTTTCTTTTTTTATTATTTTTTTTTGGAAAAATACAAATTAATCAAGAAATTTACAAAAAAAAAAAAATTTTTTTATACAACATTCAAAAAGAGAAAAAAGAATATATAAAAACACCGAAAAAAAATGTCAAGAAAAAATTATCCTACTTATTATTCTCTACAGAGATTCCTAAACCTACTTCACCAAAGTCACACTCATTTTCATTACCATTTAATCCATCTGAAAGTCCACTATCATTTATTATAGATGAATTCCCAAGATGATGATTATTAGTTTCATTATGTAAAACATTCCAAAATTCATCGCTTGCAATATCATCCAAAGAAGTTTCAGAAAAAAAATCTGAAGGTTGCATTGGCGGCGTTAACATGGTATTTATATTTGCTACTGGGTTTAAGGATGATTGAGATAGAGGATTTGAGTCGTTATTATTATTGTGGTTATTACTATGATTATGATTATGGTTATTTGGTTGGTGCCATGGTTCAGGCCTCGCTGATTGTGGAGGTGTCCAAGTCAAATTATTGTTATTGTTATTGGAACTTAAAATGATTTTCTTGTCAATTTGATCAAGAAGCTGTTGTTGCTGCTGTTGCTGTTGCTGTTGCTGTTGTTGTTGTTGTTGTGTAATAAATGTATATGAATTTGTATCCAAGAAAGGTGGTTTTAAATCAAGTTCCTCGTGTGAAAAAAGTTGCGATTGCTGATCTTGTTGTGACGAATGGAATTGTTGAGACAGAAGCTGCTGTGATGAATCGTATTGCAACGAATCATATGGTTGTAAATTTGGTGAACCAAATTGGTTCAAATGTGAAGAATTACCATAATCTTGTGATTGTAATTGAGGTGATTGTTGATAAGGAGAATTATAATCTTGCGGATTAAGCTGCGGTGAAAGATTAAGTGGCGTATGATAATCAGAAGCTTGAAGTTGTGGTGACCGTTGAACCGGCGAATGATAAGGCGAATTAAATTGTTGTGGTTGTAGTTGAGGAGATTGTTGTAAAGGAGTATGATATTGTGAATTTCCACCAAATTGTTTATGATCTTGATCGAATTGTTCTGGCTCTTCAACAAGCACACCATCTAATGTCACCTGAGGTAAACTCGAATTTTGTCCAGATAATTGCGAAAAGGCTGAGAAATCAAAACTTTTATCCGTTTTAAATGTAAAATTAAGATCTTCCATGTTTTGACTTGAATTCATGAAATCAAAAGTAGAGCTATACGATCTACCTTTCATGTAAATTGATGAATTACTATTCATGCTCATTGACCTAGAAAAACTTGAAGTTTTTCTTTTAGGCATAAAGATTCCACCAGATTGTTTCCTTGCAATCCAACTATATTGTCTTCTCAAGTTTCTATCATCATCAGCAATAAAAACTTCCCATTCCCTTAGATTATTAGACGTATCATTATCGATCATCCTATTTCGAGGATGAGTTGGAATTCCTAACCACTCTGTTAATACATGTTCTCCATCCATTCTTCCCTCACCATCAACTCTACCACGATCATAGCTTTTAGATATTTCCATAATCTTAGATCTTATAACTTCAAGACGTTTAAGCATTTCGTCAGCTTTTTTATTTTCGTCATATTTTGCATGCCAAGAAAATACTCTCATTGCTGGACTAATCGCAAATGGACCAGATGATGCCAAAGCAAAAAAATCCGGATGTTTTTCTAATAATACTTCAAGACAGTGAACTATGATCGTGGCAGATTGCATGCAAATTACAGAAGAATTTGATGCTTTCATCTGATACTCTTCTGGAGGTTTTAAATGTCTAATATGAAGAAGAATCAAAACAGTATGGAAAAATATAGTTATATCACCTAAATTAAATAATCTTAGTTATATTCAATTAAAATATGCAAGCTGTGTATAACTAATAATTTATTAAAATATAACCTACCTCCGACTCCATTCAATAATGCACCATCAGGATCCTTAGCAATTTCTTCAAACCTTAACCATCCTGGCAAAGAATGAGACCAATTTGCAAGTGCAGCGTCTAATATTCTAAATTTATTTTCGTCATCTCGTACCAAAACCCTTAGTCTTGATGCGTGCAGATACTTACGTACTCTAGCACAAATCCTACTAAGATTGATTAAATAAATGTAAGCTATTTCAAGTCGAGCATTTTCATCCATTGGATATGGACTTAGTAACATATTAGGTACATCGACATCACAATCTGTTTCATCTATCATATTAGGACGTCCATACGTCGCTGAAACAAAACTTGAATAAAATTAATCAGTTAAAAAAAATAAATAAATAAATAAATAAATAATCCTAAATCAATAAAATATGAAGGTTAATTACTTTTCAGAAATAAAACACATCCAAAATGCTTCATTTCTTAATTGCTCCACCTCTTCACGTATTTTATCCTTGAATTTGCGGTGTAAACCAAGTTCAAATAACATCTTGGTTGCAATGCCACTGTACATCCAATTTGCCCCCATCTATTACAAAAAATAATGATTTATCAATTAATAAAAAGTAATTGTATCGTGCTTTTTCATGGTTTGCTATGCCAAATATCCCTTCGATATTCGTAGTTGCTAAATTTTAAAAAACAAATTAGTTATAGAAATTATATAAGAGAAACTAAATTTAGATTTAGATAACAAAGTGAAAAAAGATACCTTTTCTTATTAAAGATAAAAATAATCTCAGCATAGCAAAAAAGTTTTTATATAATTCTTCACGCATTACAAATCATATGCGTATTCAAAACTTTAGGTTAGTGTCAATTCAAGTACCTGTTTATTGTGACGTCCCAGGATAATTATAGACATTACAGTAAGAGCATGTGGCAATGTACAATATTCGTAAAGTAAAGCTTTTCAAGAAATATAAATATTCAAAATGGTAAGAACTTTTCAAACTTGAACGATTTTCATGTTATGAATCAAAAAAAAAATTACCTTCGGCCCTGTCAAAATATATTCTTCCATCTTTTTTGTCTGGATCTTCATGAAAAGGTGAAGCTGCAAAAAAAATACAATTCAACAATAACAAATGCTGCGGTCTATTTAAATCTCGAAGAGCATTCCATACAGTTTGCTGCCTTAATGCAGGAAAATATCGATGAACGTGCTAAGAAAAAAAAAAGAAGTTATTAACTAATAAATACAAAAAAAAATATACTAAATTTATTAATACCTTAAAATATAAATTAATCAATTGTTCAATAGTCTCTATATTTGGCAGGATTTTTAATGAATCATTAACTTGCGATAAATCTGGTTGGATTTGAGGAATTATCATTTCTCCAAAGTTATCATCATCTAACAGTAATAATGATCCTTCCCCAATATATCTTGTTGATTCGTAAAGTTTTAAATTCTCTATATTAGATGCGAGATCATCAACAACATTGTCACCAGAATTCACTTCCTGATTCATGAACTGTAACTGTTGATTTTGTTGACTTTGTTGATATTGTTGAGTTTGTTGTGATTGCAATGTGTCTGTCGATTGAGTTTGGTATAAATTTTGTTGCTGATTTTGTAATAGTGCAGCAAAGTCGGTGCAATTTAAATAATATGTAGGATCGTACTATCGGATTACAAAAAAAAAAAATGAATTTGGTAATACGCATGTTATTATTTGAACATCATTTTGATGACTTGTTTAATTTAAAAAGTCGCGTAAAATTAAATGCATACTTGGCATTGTTCAGCATCTCTTTGAATCGATGCTGCAACATTTGTGGAATTTTGAAGAACCTCAGTAGTTATTAACGATGTTGCGTCCTATTTATTTAAGTGAAAGGAAAATTTTTGAAATCTTTTCAATTCAAAAATTTTAATAAATATAATCCACTTACAAGACCATAATTATTGACATCTGCCGCCATTGAAGTCATTGGCATCGATAACATTCCAGCAATATTTTGACCATTGTTAGCTTCAATACCAAAACTTCTTGAAGCCATCGATAAAAAACCCGACTCTTCGTATAATTGTCCAAATTGTACATTCTGTAAATAATTTAATTGAGTTTGAAGAAAACTAGAATCCGCTTGTGATCTTAACCCATTCTGTTTCTCTCTTATCGATTCTGTAAAAGCCGCGTAAGTATAACTACATTTTCGATTTGTTTTTTTACAAGTTCCGCATTCCGGCCTTTCTTTATCACATTTAACTTTACGGTTTTTGCAAACGTCACAGGTTGACACTAACTTGACCCGCTTAGGGTTTGCCAACGGACGTAAGTAAGTCGAGGCCATACTTTTTCTTTAACTCGAATTTAATAGCGACGAGAGTAAAATTTATATTGATTGTGATTGACATATATGGAGTTATTAATAAAACGAAGCTATTTTATAGTTTTCTCCGATCTGCATAACCCAAAAGGAATGTTACACCTTTGTTGACAATAGCAAATAAGGAAATGTATTAAAACTGCGTATTTTAACTACAATAGTTTTAAGTTATAATTAGTAATATTTATAACAAAACGAGATAAAAATATGTGTAATTATTACTTATTTTCTTTTTACTATTATTTATACAGTTTATATAATTATACATATTATGAATGTTGTTCAAAATCCCAAAATCCATTATCCTAAATAACAAAATCTTAAATAATAAAATTCTAAATAATAAAATTCTGATATTTTAATATCTTAAAGAAAATAAATAATACAATTCATTTTGTAAAATATTAAATATAATTTATTTAATAAAACTTTCGAAAATAATAAAGTTGTATTTAATTTAATTTTATAACATAAAAAAATATTAAAAAGTTAAATAAATAATTAATAATAAAATCTAAGAAAAATTAACTACAATAAAAAGTTATATGCAATCTCATAGAAAAAGTTTATTTAAATAATTTTTTGATTATTAATAATGATCATAATTTTTTGTTCTTTATTAATTAAGATTTTTTTCTTAATGATTATTTTATTATGAATAATACATTTAACTTAAATTTAATCTCCTATTATTTTTTTATAACTTTTTAATTATTATATAAATATCATATAATCTTGATTAATTAATATCTATACTAAGTTTTTTACAATATTTTATATTTTAAATTTCTATTTTAATTAAATTATATACTGATCATAATTATAATAAAATAAAAAGCTAAATAAATAATGTAACTATTTTTTAAGATATTAATATATTCTTTAATAAATATAATGTTCTTTAAAAATTTAATAACTTTATTTATCTTTGAATTAGAATGTTTAAAATTATATTGTATATATAGGATATTGTACTTACTTCACCATGACTCTTTGTAAAAGACCTTTTTAGATCAATTGATTTTCACAATGTCCAAGTATTACCACAATTTCATAAATACACTACAATAGATATTAACTGGTTGTATACAACATTTATTCTTAATAATAATGAAAATAACTCATACACCTTCTTTAAAGTCTCATCTATTTGAAAATTTAAAATTAAACTCATGTTCAAACTACTTTCTACACTAGAAATTCTTAAAACAAGACACCCAGATCTCTATGACTAATCATAAAATTATTCTAGATGTTTGTTTAATTACGAAACGTTTGATCACATTTGAATTTATAATAGTATTAGAAACTAAATTGGTAATATCATATCTTCTACTAAATAATTTTTTATTCAGTAATTAAATATGTTAACCTTTGACACTCATAATTTTTCTAAACTCATTAATATAAATATTTAACTTTTAAATGATTAAATTAGCTCCTTCAATTTTATTGACTTGATCAAAAGAATTTTACCTTCTCCTTTATTTAACAAAACTCACTGCCTTATTAACAACATCTAATTAACAAATGGATTCCTTTTTTTCACTTATCACCATGCATTTTCTAAAATAAAAAATCTTTGGCTTGATCAATGTATTGCTATCAAATAATTTGAAAGCCTCAATAACATTTTACTTAATGATCAAAATCACACTTTATTAATATTAGCTTTTTCTTATTAAACCTCCATTTATTCACTATTTCACCTTATTTCCTTTTCTCTTTTAAGTTTGATACAAACTGATCAAATTTTTAGATTAATAATAATCACACTTCCTATACTGAATGGTTAAATTTATTTTAATTTAATTTGGATAAGTTAGTTTAGAATAATATAAGGTTGATTTTAATTTAGTTTTTATTGTTAGATAGAAATTTTTGTATTCTCTCTTTTGTAATTTGTAATTTTATAAAATTTTACTTTACTCTTAATAAAGATTATGCAAAACTACCACACGTTAAAATAAAAAAATTAAAATTATATTGTATAAAATATCAAATTATACATAATAAAATAAAATAAATTATGCTAAATTATATATTTATAATTTGGTCAAAATTATCAAATTAATTTATATAGTTTATGATATAAATATCTGAAGTTTTTATTAATAATAGAAAAAAAGTAATGTTATACCAATTTTTATCTAACAGAAATAAAAATTTAAAATAACAATTCTTTAGTTATTTTTAGATATAAATATAAATACCAAATATTTTGCTTAACTATTTATCAGTAATAATACATAATAACATAATAAATAATATACATTTTAGTATTTAAAATAAGATAGCTAATTGTAAAAAAATTTACTACTTTTTTAAATTATAAAATATAGGTAAATATTTTTTCTTTGTAAGTTTGATTTTACAATAGTACTATTTAAAATTTATTTATTATTAAAAAAATATTATTATTATTAAATAAAATATATTTTATTAAAGTTATATACTTTTTAAAGAATATTTAAATAAAATTAAAAGTAATTTATTTACTTTTTTAATAAAAATATCTGCTTTTGCTAAAATTTTAACTAAATCACAATTAATTTGATTTTTATCAAATATAAACTACTAAATAATTTTAGTTATTTTTTAATTTAAAATGAATATCAAGTATTTTTTTTTTATGATTAAAAATTTTTTTAAATAATAAAAAAAATTGGCTTTATCTATTTAGATATTATCTTTATATTTAAATTCTTTTAAATTGGTTTGTATTTTTTATTATAATTGATTAAATTTATTGAAATAGTTAGTATCTAATAAAAGGTTAGCAATTAAAGATTTTAATAATTAATAAAAATTGAAATTTGCAAATTATACAATTATATGATTTATGTAAAATTTATAAATTATATAAAGTATAATGTCATATATACCATAACATAATTCTAAATATTTTATTTTAAAAGTATTTTAAATTTTAATATATTAAAATATATTTGAAATTTTATATAATAATAAAAATATTAAAATAAATAAATAGTATAAATAATAAACTAAATTATTATATTTAATAATAAGTTTATATAATTGTATTTTATTAATTAAATTACAATGGCTTACAAAAGTAATGCAATCACTAAGCACAAAACTTTAAATTAATGTAACTTTTTATTTATAAATTATATTAAAGTAAAAAAAAAAAGTTATGATATTCTTCAAATTAAAATTTATTAAAAAATATTTTTTTTTCTGATTTAAGTCACGTGAAAAAAATCTATGTAACAATTAAGTTTTTGATATTGTATGACTTTTAGTAATCAATATTTAACCAGTTAGGTTTAAACTGAAAACTATAACAAATCCTTGCACTAACACATTTATTTATTAAATTATATCTGTTTACCACCTTATATATCTTCTCTTAACTTTTATTATATTATTTATCCTTTCTGGCATAGACTTGATTAAATTTATACATATATCGATCTCAATCCTAAACTAAACACCTTGTAATTTTTTTCATAGATCTTCCCTTCCTGTAGCTTGCTCTGAAAGGTATTTTAAACGATGTTTGGCTTTATTTCAAAGATGCTCTATAGGATTTAAGTTTAGAGATTATGCAGGCCAGTTAAGTACAATCACTTTATTATCAGAAAGCCAGTCCTTAGT